TGGGAGAGGATTTTCCCAACAGCCACTAGGAGGGGGAAACAAAAAAGATGACAGAAATTATTAAAATTACTTTCCCACTCTGCAAAATACGAGTATTTTTATTGCCCCATTTACTCCCCCCTACTTCCTGTCTCGACAAGCGCCTGTCTTTAAGGCAGAAAGCGAGGGTAAAACCCCCTAACAAGGAAATAAAAAAAAAACCTGCCCAAGCTTCTATCCCTTCTCAGTTTCATTAAAAATAAGGTTTTGCTGGAATTCAACTTTACTCAAGTTTTAGAAACTTTTCCTGAATGTATCACATTGTGTGCAGAATGCATAAAACACAGCTAATATAATAATGATTGGAAAAACGGATGAAAAATGCCTCAAAACACTCACAAATGCACCCCCTCCCCTCACACCTTAACTCACAGTAGTGCGAATTTATTTAATGCAAGTTAACTCTTGAAAATGATTTCCATGATATGATTCGGAACTACTGTCCACTTCATCATTAAAGTAGACCAAAGTCACATACTTGACAGATATGTAGATCATTCCTAAATTTGTTATTTTCAAAAGCCCGGAGATCGAATTAGCTACACAATTCGTATTACAAATACAAAATGGCTACTGCCCCGAATACCAGCTAGAACACTATATGAAAAAAAGCTAATAAATTTGAACATAAATTATATATTCTTCATTATACATTTACATATTTCATCATTTTGATGGTGTTGCCTGTCAGTTAACACCCCCCACCATAAAATATGTCCCTTAGATAATTAATACATACATGCTATAAAATAAATAAAAGATCTATACGTTTTTGTAAAGCAATATGTAGCTGAATAAATTCACATTTCCCGTGTGCATATATAATATCGAACTGTAATGCAAAGAGCTCCTCACAAGCAAGGGGCCCACTGCCATCACACAGACCTTGCTGGATAGAACATTCATGCGGTGCCTCTCTAAAGTGCCATTTACAGATAAACCCAATCTGATCGACAGCAAGAAGTGAGCAGATACCACTTTATATTGCCCAAGGACATAAATCATAATTTAACATTTCTTAAATAAATTAATATAAAAAGTAGTTTCTAAAGAAGCCATACAATTAAAAAAAAAGTAGATTGCAACCTGTAGTTAACAGCTAAAAGTACCATACAGAAAGCAAAAGAAATACTGCACAAAGGCTGGAGAAGAGACTGGACTTTTTTCTTCTTATTCGAGACATTCACTCTTAAACCAATACCGTGCCATAAAATTCTTCAATGAATAAAAGACTACGATTTTCTTTTTTTTTTAGCACTGAGGTGATCCATCGATCAGAGAGGTGGTCATTTATGAGAATCTTCTACCAAACTGGAGGACTGAAAAAGGTAATTGTACCACCCACGACAATTAGTCAAATTGCAATATGCGTCTAACAGGTTTGACAACAGCAAGGTGTTGGCTGCTATGGGCCAAGCTTCTTGGAACCCCATATTTCACCTTTATAGAATGCCTATGAAATCAGTTTATTCAGTAAAGCAATGCCAAGAACAATAATGTGGAAAGTGAAGCTATCTATAAAAAGCAAATCAAAATAAAAGAACTAAACCAATGTCAGTAATCTAAAATTTGATTGGTTGCTCACATTCCACAATTGTATCTTTTTTTTAATTCCCTGGAACAAATTAAAAAATACACCTCTTATCTTATTGGCTGCAGAGGTCACTACATCTGCTTCGCTTTCTTCCAGTTTTTATGAGTTAATAGCCTCTTTATGCATCGCTCCACTGGTCACATAAAGCGAACATCTCAGGTACCCCAATGTGTCCAACCTCATACTGCTGCTAAAACACATACCCCTTTTGATACCTGCAAGTACTTTTCAAAAGTCAATCAATGGACTTCTTTGCATTCAGCAAGGCTCTGGGTCCCAAGTACACTCTACACACAAGACAACCTCTCTCTGACTTGAAACTACATCCTTCCTCCCCAAGGATTAAACTCACCCCCGTAATTCACCAGTCTAATGCTCCAGATTCAGTAGCCAGTAAAGTGTCTCACATTGGGTTATCAAGATTTATCCTTAAACCAGGTAGTAGCAAGGTCCTGTGTATAGCCTGCACCAGGACCCAGGGTCATACACACAGAGAAAACAGTGAGAGGATTACTATAGGTACTTGAAGGCACCATAAGAAGGGTGTTTCATTAGTTTGGACATACTGATGGGTATGACACGTTCTCTTCAACAGAACACATATATAGCACACGAATGGCTACAAAACGATTTTCACAATAAAATTAAAGGGTAAAATACAAAAAACACATACATGAGAATAGTTTTCTTTCACAGAAGACATGGGATTGTTAAGAGTGAATGTCCCTTCATGTACAAGAAAGCAATAGAAATCTAGTAAAAAATGCCAAATGATGATGTCATACAGGGAAAAGAGTTATTTAAAAACAACAACAAATTTCTTTGTTTTAGCTTTCACCTTGCTGCCAGAAAATGAGGCTTTCCATATACAATACAAAATATACTGTAGGTAATACAAAAAAAAAACAACACAAGAGGCACAAACACCCAAAATAGGGACACAGATTAAAAGTACTTTACATTTACTGGTCTCACACGCATTCATGGTGGCAGCCATTTTAAGCAGTACTTCAGATAATGCAGTCTCATCCCTGGAGGAATTAAGGACATCCTTGTGTCCTAAGGTGCTATGTAGGCCCATACGTATGGTAGATGGCATTAATAATGAGGCAGTGTTGACAGCCCTCATTTACATTCTGGTCAGGCCCCACAGGAGTTGTAAGAAGTTCCTAGTGAAATGATAGACCAAATATTGGTTCACACTGGCTGATTTTATTATGCATGGGAGGCCAATACAGCTTAAAAGCTATTTTCCAACTCAAAAGGTGATATTTTAATTTTGGGTAGACACCAAATCACATGCCACTTTCTCTTCTCTCTCGGGGACCCTTGACTGCGATGTCCGAGCCAAAGCCCCACCTCTGTTCCCCTGCCACAGGTCAGGGCAAAGGTATCACAAATAAAAAAAAATGTGACATCTTGACGGAAGGGTGGAGACTGGATCTGTGGTTTGGAATTCTCAAAGTCAAAGCCTCCAAGGCTCAGTGGCTTATTCAGACAACCACCCACAAATGTCATATCAGTTTTGGTTGGACATAACTTCTAAGAAACACTAGTGGACCTTAATAAAATCTGGTACACAGTGAAATGCCCATTTAGCCAGGTAACCAATCAGATCATAACTGGCATTTTTAGTGCCATTTGGAACATGAAAGCAAGTGTGTGTATCGTCTTTTCTGTGCTCCAGTTTTCATGAAGTTCTGCATTTTCCTTTGTACAGGATTAAAGGGGTCAAGTGTCAGATCCGGTTATTAAAAAAAAGGGAGGGGGAATTGATCGCGTATGCCCATTTTGTTCTATTTTTAATTTAAAAAAGGCTTTTCTAGTGTGAGAATAGAATTTCTCATCTTAAAACCACCGGGTGGTACAAAAATTGCATATGTACCCAGTTAAGGGAATAGAAAAAGGTAGTGGCCACTGCCTTGGCTTAGTATGTTGTCCAAGTGAAGGAGGTCAGGTAATTGTTATACAATGCCAGCTGTTTGTAGGCATTGATCATTCCTGTGTAAGGTTTTCAAAGAAAATAAAGTGTGAAAATGATGGAAGGTGAGGGTGTACAACGTGGACAATCATTGGTATTCACGAGGTAGCTGGGAGGTGTTCATATACAAATTAAAAATAAGCAGGGAAAACACACAGTTATAAATTAACTATTTTTACGAAATATAAATAAGAGGCCTAGACCCAAAAGTTCAACCCTTAATGGGCACTCCCACCCTCCTGGTGCTCTTTTGACAGACGACTGGGATGACAGTATACTTGAAAGACAGAGCGGTTCTTTAACACAGCCAAAAATCAATTCCTGGCAAGTATATCATGGTCTTCAAAAATGACCCTGTACACCTGGGACCTACACTTTTATACTGTCTGTACTAACACCCCCATTACAAAAAAAAACAGTAGGAGTCCTATTGGTTACAGGAACTCTGTTTATGCCTGCAAAGAAGGGTCTTTAGGCTTATTAATCATAATTCACAATTTGTACACTGGTTTGCTACATGGCCTAGGCCATGGGCATTTATACTGTCCATCTCAAGGTTAAGTTAAGAAAAAGGAGCTTGGAAGTAACCAATAGAAAGGTTATTCTACAGGAATCTCTCAAAGATAAAAGAGTGTTGGGCATCTCTATCTACTGCATTCCACCTAAGTCTGAAAAACTAGTTTTGAGTGTGCATGGCCCTTAAGTGTGCTGATTGCATATACACAGTGAAGCAATAATTAAAACACAGTCTAGCTGAAACCACAGACCCCATTAATGCATCTCAGGTAAAAGAGGGTCATTTACCTATTCACAGATTGTGTTCTGACAATTGATAGTTTTGAAAGGGTACCTCTGCTGTGACTTGCTGACCAGTACACTTTAATGGCACCACTGATTATTAAACAAATACAGTTAACACCAATGTAGGTCTAAAAGTGAGGATGACAGCTCAGGTGAATACCCAGGTGAAGAAATAAATAACACTTTTTGCAGAGAGAGCAAAACAAATTTGGGCATTAAATAATCTGTTCCCCTTCTCAATGACAAACATTTGTTGCAACTAAAAGAGGGATATAACCTCTCCCCTTGCCTCAAAATACAGCTTGGTGGCCAAATACCTACATGGACTGGAAAGTTTGGGCCAGTGTTGTACATCTTAATTAGCAAGGAACTTTATATGCAAATATTACTGTGTTGCTCAAAACACTTGTTCCAGCAAATTTTTTTCTCTTTTTTTCCCCTAGAAAATCAATATAATAAACGAGAGAATCTGTACAAAAATATAAAAACATTTGGGCAAGGGGACCAAAGCAGCCATTTATACGCAAATCTTACTGGAAAAGCAGTAATTAATGCCTCCGATTTTTTCTTTTTCTTTCTCCCAACCTAAAATGGGCTAAAATGTCAAAAAAAAAAAGGGGCTCTGATTACTTAAGTAATAAAATTTACCTCTTGCAATAAAACTTATTGAAAAAATAGACAGTTATGCACATGCAATTTACAGCGTTCCCCAACACAATTCTTGTGCTTATACATGTACAACTCAAACTGGTGTCTAAGTTGACACCCGGTAGTTTGTATGAAATCTTCAGTGGACTGTAGTACGATTGGCCATGGAGAACGACTTATAAAGTATCTCCAAAGCAGTCATACAGAAGGCACTCCGTTACAGCATAATGCAATATTTAAACAAGATCCTTTTTGTTTTTCAAAAAAGGCAAGAATATGCATGCACAGTGCTGTGAATCTGTGGGGGAGGGATGAGGATTATGTAGAGTCAATGACATGTTCTCTTAGGATCCAACCAAAACCTCCATTATATGGTCTAGTTCTGTGAGGTCCATCTTAAAAGGCTGATTAGGGGTTACCGGTTGGCTACTATACGGAGACAATGTTTTGAGGAGTTCATCTGGTGCCATCTTAGAGGCTGCTCCAGCATTTGATGTGCAAGGGTCAAAATCGTACATGGACGTGTCAATGTCAGAAAAAAGGATGTCATCTAAGGTCAGGTCTGTGAGAAAGCCCGTGGAGGTTGTTAATTCAAAATTCCCAGGAAGGGAATCCATTAGTTTTGGCTCACTTGTTCTGTTCTCTTGTGTTCCCTCGGACTTAAGTGTTCCTGCTGTGACAGTTCCATCCTTTAGGTTTGCTGCTGCCATTGCCTCTGTGGAGGTAGATGTTGGACATAGCTCCTCAATTTCATCCAAGGCTGAGGAGAAACTGTCTTTAACTGGCTGGACAGGAGGCAGCTGTGAAGGTGGTGGGTGCTTGCTGCTAGGACTATTCTGCTGGACTGTTTGGGAAGTGCAAAACGTGTCCTCCTCAAGCAGAGAGGCCGGGGTGAGGCAAGACTCTAGTGGTGTAGTGTTTATTAAGTCAGTGGGTTGTAGGGTAGGCTGGGAGGCAAGATGGCTGAAAGCAGGCTGTGCCTCCTGATACGTGTCAAGAGGATCTGAAGACTGTGAAGTGCCTATAAACACAGGCCTCAGACTGCCTTCTTGTTTCAGCTCCTCTTGTATCCTTCTCAACATGTTATTAATTAAAACTGTTTTCTGCAATCTTGGCTCTGTCAAGGGCCTGTGATTGTAGAGTTTCATAAGGGAAATGTTGAAGATAGTCTGGCGCTGTAAGGTGTAGGATACCTTCGAAGGCCCATCTGTCGGCGACACCACTTTGCTTTCCAGCCCATCTTCATGCTCGTCAAACTTTCGCTTTCCCGCTTTACCCAACATATATCTGAAAAAAACCAAAACCAAAAACATAAAATTATTACAGGAGGATCAGACATATATGATTATATATGAAACATTAAAACAGAACTTTGACATTTTCTGTCAGAATCTGTTTAAATTTCTTGCAAAAAGTAGCTGCGCCTAAATAAAACTTAACTGTAATTTCACTGGTGACGTAACGTAAAGTAAACCAGGGGGATACTAAAATGACTACATATTACAGACATCTAGGAGGTGCATGTATATACACCGAGTGGCCAGTTTATTATGACCACCTGACGTTTGTAGGCAAATTAGCTATACATTTTGCGCTGAAGTTGCTAGAGGGCCAGACCATTATAAATAGGGAAGCAGGTTGTTTACCACGACAGTAGAAGTGATTTTTTTCTGAAGATATGGGTAAACCACGCGATTTAACAGCCTTTGAACGTGGGATGATTGTTGGTGCGAGCCATGGAGCGAGTATCAGCAAAACAGCAGAATTCGTTAAATGTTCAAGAGGGGCTCATTGTTAAAGTGTTTAAAGACCGGACTGTCAGCCGAAAATCTGGGTCTGAACGTGCGAATTGTGGCCATCAGCGACTAGTCAATGTTAGGGCAGAACGGAGAGTGGCAAGACTTGTGCATGACAACAGAAGGTCAACGTGTCTGAGTTTGGTGGTTGCCAGGAGAACAGTACTTGCCTGACTGCATTGTGCCAAGTGTAAAGTTTGGTGGAGGGGGGATTATGGTGTGGGGCTGTTTTTCATGGGTTGGGCTTGGCCCCTTAGTTCCAGTGAAGGGAACTCTTCAGGCATCAGCATACCAAGACATTTTGAACAATTTCATGCTCCCAACTTTGTGTGAACAATTTGGGGATGGCCCCTTCCTGTTCCAACATGACTGCGCACCAGTGCACCAAGTAAGGTCCATAAAGACATGGATGCGCGAGTTTGGGGTGGAGGAACTTGACTGGCCTGCACAGAGTCCTGACCTCAACCCGATAGAACACCTTTAGGATGAATTAGAGCGGAAACTGAGGGCCAGGCCTTCTCGTCCAACATCAGTACCTGACCTCACAAATGGTCCAACATTCCCATAGACACACTCCTAAACTTAGTGGACGCCTTCCCAGAAGAGTTGAAGCTGTTATAGCAGCAAAGGGTGGGCCAACTCAATATAGAACCCTACGAACTAAGACTGGGATGCCATTACAGTTCATGTGCGTGTAAAGGCAGGCGTCCCAATACTTTTGGCAATATAGTGTATGTTGTTTACCCATAAAAGCCTCCATGTGTGGACATTCAAACGCCCTGAAATCGCTGCCGAGCACCGCCATCTGATATCAGCAGCCCCAGAAAGCTCACTGATGCCCTATTCTTTTTCCCTTTGCTCCTCCCCCGGCAGCTACTTAAAGTTTATGTAGGCAGGTCATGGAGTTGGAGGAGCTGGGCCATCACAGATATTAATTAATTAGATACTTCCAGAAATAAGCATTTAGAAAAAAAAAACTTAATTTTTCAGTGCTTTTACCTGCATTATTTTAAGCCTGTCACCAGGTCTTTTAGTTCCAGGGTAACACAAAAAGTTAAAAATTGCATTTTATTGTTCAGAAAAACATCATAAAGTGTCAGAATTCAAAAGAGGAACTGTATGTTACTTATTCAGCTTTAGCATATAAAGGGTTAATAACATAGTCATTAAATCATATGGTTATGGGAATTACTGTTACAGCGTGCAAGTCCTAAAGTGGCAGCATGTCATGTCAGTCGCCTGATAATTATCAGGATTAGCTCTAGAGATAGGAGATGATCCCTGTGTTAGCACAGATAAAACATTAGACTTCTCGCAGATACTTTAGTAGCGATTCAGACAGTCAGTGCCCTCTGTTCACAGGCTCAAGTCCTGTGCTTCCATCACAGCCTATGGGACTTGTAGTTCCCTAGCAGCTGGATGTTCCCAAGACAACCTGATCTACTTTGGAAAAGAATATGGTGAATCATCATTCATTTTGTTCTGCATTATCAATACTTTCACAGCTGCACAAAAATGTGCAAATATGCAATCCCCACCAATCTTCATGTAAAAATGGTGTTCTTTATGTCTTTACTTCCACTGCAATAGTAAAAACACTAAATATGCTACATGTGCGCAGCCAAACCCAAGACATCACTGTAAACCCATATTTTATAAATTATGCTCAAATTACATCACTGTAACTGTCTAATGAAGCAACAATACAATATTTAACCAGCAAGTGGCACCATTCTATCCAGAGTCACATCTAACACCAGAGAAAACTGCAGTGTCTACGAGGGGGACTGGGAAGTTGCTATTGGCTGGACTGCCTTCTTTACTTCCTATGCCCCTATAGGGTAACCAACATCGCAATTCATATATAATAAAAGCAGATATATAAATTGTGGCTTTAGAATCCAGCTCTGCCAATTTCTGCACATGGTAAGCCTGTGTATTATAATTTAAATTCATTTACTGTATAAAAAAATTAAAGCAGAGAAAAATGCTATTCACCAAATATTGTGTCTCTGGCATAAACTATAGGCAGGAAGAAGAAAAAAAAATTGCCGATATCTGTACTAGACACCACAGTCTTGCTTCAAGGTCACAATCAGTCCTCAGATACAGTTCTTTTTTTTAAATAAATTCCAGATCATCAACACATTTTCTTAACCCCCGACTGCAGTTGTAATAGTAAGCGTCACAATTCTGGAGCCAGACCATGTTTTACTACCTATGTCCTGCATAACCACGTACCACAGGGCCCTATTGCAGAACTACTAAAGGACCCCCACCCCTTCCCGTGTTCCAACCTTTAGGCCAGCTTCACACCTGGGCGTTTTGTAGCGCGTTATTACGCTCTGCAAAACGCTCAAACACCGAAATCCCATTATTTCCTATGGGTATGGTTCACACCTGGGCGTATTACAGGCCGTATGAACGCGCTACAAAACGCCCTACGCCCAAAGAAGTACAGGAGCTTCTTTGGGGCGTATTTGCCGCGCGTATACATTGGGATACAGCCAGGTAGCCCTCGGAAACGCGTGCTTGTCGCGGTAAAAACGCGCGACAAACACGCATATTCGATACGCCTAGGTGTCAACCCAGCCTTAACCAAGGCAATACCATCACTAAAGCCTGGGCCACTCTAGAATAGTACAGATTACTGATTGGGAAATACAATTACTGTGTGAGTGAACTGATCCTCCAAGTTTAGCAAAGTCCTGCAATGGCCCCTACTACTGTGCACCTTCCCGGTTTGTTCAAAATAGGGGGCTTACCATTTTTACAGTTATGCAGGCTTAAATGTGAAAGATGTATATTTACTTCTCTATTTAGCTTCACTTGTTTTGTACGACATGTACTAGCAATACTTTAGGCAGCAATGTCCAAAGAATGTGTCTGTCATTCAGCACCCTTCCTCTCATGTGGAATCACAAGCAGGCAAATGCTTAGGTGCACTGGGCTACTGACACCATCAAAGGGAGGTGAGATTCCAATAACTTTTTGGTGTCATTCTTACTCTGCCAAAAATTGTGGCCTGGACCCAATAAGAGACATTACTGGTGCTCATGTGACACTGAGGCAACAAATGAAGCTCCAGGATCTCAGGGTTCCTGTAGGAACGTTAGGACTTGTAGGCCAAGCATCCCCTGCCACAGCGCACAGCTATGACATCAAGAGTAAGAGGTGTGTCAGTAGAAGCTTTCTCATTTTAGACCATCTCTAATTACATAACTGTACAGAGCACATAAGAGGTAAACCTGCACGCATGAAGCTGTGTAAGTAATTTGAGCTTTAGCTATTTAGCTCTATAATAGTTTTTTTTTTAAATTGACATAAAAGGGCACGCACTCAACACATTTTTAAAGCTTTGGGTGTAGTTATTACTATCTATGACCCCGTTAGGAAGATCTTCACAAACTCTTTTTTGAAACATCACATAGTGTCCCCAGTCCACTAATAGATTCTTCCCAGTAATGCACAGAAATATACTTCAGAAATGGAAACCAAAGATTTCAGCCCATAGCAGAGACCTGGCTGTTAAAGCAGACCTTTACCCAGATCTTTAAAGTAACAACAAACACACCTTTAGAAATATTTAGTAATGACAATCTACAAACACGAACTTCTAGATAATTACCGGCTTTGTATTATTTGCATTCCTTATTTCTCTTTTCTTCCCCAGTCTTCTGACAGTGGCCATGTTTACTAAGGGCACATTACTAGCTTTACTTTTAGTTCCTTGAACTCTGGCACATGTGACTAGACATGTGACCATGCACATCATCTCAGGGGAGTAACATGCCTTTCCTTGAGATCTCATGAGATTCCCCAGCAATGCTCTGCTGATGTAACTTTCCCAAGATGCAATGCTTTGGAACTTGCATCATTTGTGCCAGAACTGGACCAGGAAGTAGATGAACTCTATTTGCAAGTAAATGAAAAACAAGTTTGTTTAACTAATGAATGTAAGAGGATTTTAAATCAGCCTGCAAAGCTGTATGCTGCTGTGATTTTTAGTAAAAGGGGGTAAAGGTCCGTTTTAAGCCCAGATTGGGAGCAGTAAACTGGGGGTCAAACTTAAGGTGCACTCTTCGAATTTTTTGTTCAGCAATCTTCCATAAATGGTATTTTAAATGACATTTTAACAGTTGATGGGACACCAACGATTTTTTGTACTGTAATCCCACTCAAAATGTTCTTGAAGGGTGAGGCTGGAAAACTTTTTTCGATTTAAATGAAAAAAAAAAATCGAAGGATCAGTGGCATTTTTGTACAACAAAAGAATTGCAGCAAGAACACTGGACATGGGCAAACGCAAATTGACTAAATTCCGTGAGTTAGTATTGCTAACCAACAATTATCGAAAATCGACATTGGTCTGTGCAAGATGGGTATTTGAGCTAGAATCGAACAAGGGTTCTTGGCAGCAATGAAAATTGCCAATCGAAAATCTATAGGTGTATGGCCACAACCCTCCCCACAATACAATGAAAGGG